GTAATAGGTGTTAGTACTATGGTAGTAGGTGTTAGCACTATGGTAGTAGGTGTTAGTACTATGGTAGTAGGTGTTAGTACGTACTATGGTAGTAGGTGTTAGTACTATGGTAGTAGGTGTTAGTACTATGGTAGTAGGTGTTAGTACTATGCTAGTAGGTGTTAGTACTATGGTAGTAGGTGTTAGTACTTAAGGTAGTAGATGTTAGCACTATGGTAGTAGGTGTTAGTACTATGATAGTAGGTGTTAGTACTATGGTAGTAGGTGTTAGTACTATGATAGTAGGTGTTAGTACTATGGTAGTAGGTGTTAGCACTATGGTAGTAGATGTTAGTACTATGGTAGTAGCTGTTAGTACTATGGTAGTAGGTGTTAGTACTATGGTAGTAGGTGTTAGTACTATGGTAGTAGATGTTAGTACTAAGGTAGTAGATGTTAGCACTATGGTAGTAGGTGTTAGTACTATGATAGTAGGTGTTAGTACTATGGTAGTAGGTGTTAGTACTATGGTAGCAGGTGTTAGCACTATGGTAGTAGGTGTTAGTACTATGGTAGTAGGTGTTAGTACTATGGTAGTAGGTGTTAGTACTATGGTAGTAGGTGTTAGCACTATGGTAGTAGGTGTTAGTACTATGGTAGTAGGTGTTAGTACCATGGTAGTAGATGTTAGTACTATGGTAGTGGGTGTTAGTACCATGGTAGTAGGTGTTAGTACGTACTATGGTAGTAGGTGTTAGTACTATGGTAGTAGGTGTTAGTACTATGGTAGTAGGTGTTAGTACCATGGTAGTAGGTGTTAGTACTATGCTAGTAGGNTTAGCACTATGGTAGTAGGTGTTAGTACTATGGTAGTAGATGTTAGTACTATGGTAGCAGGTGTTAGTACTATGGTAGTAGATGTTAGCACTATGGTAGTATGTGTTAGTACTATGGTAGTATGTGTTAGTACTATGGTAATAGGTGTTAGTACTATGGTAGTAGGTGTTAGTACTATGGTAGTAGGTGTTAGTGCTATGGTAGTAGGTGTTAGCACTATGGTAGTAGGTGTTAGTACTATGGTAGTAGGTGTTAGTGCTATGGTAGTAGGAGTTAGCACTATGGTAGTAAGTGATAACGAGCATGATGCTGTGGATGGTATGCTTTCCGGAACCAGCTGAAGCACACCTACTAGCTTCATACGAGTCCTTTACTCCGCAGGTCAGCGACGAGTGTATCCACGTGTTTTACCCTGATATCTGCGACAAGCAAGACGAGATCGCTCAGCTGGCTGAGGACATCGAGGCGCAGCAGAACTTGTTGAATGCGAGTAAGACGAGGATGGAAGCAGCACAGAACAAGCTGGGCGTGCTGGCGACGACTCTGACCGACCTCTACAATAACAACTTCTTGGCGGCGCAGCTGTTCAACGGTATAGTCGAGGATGCGGACACGGTCAAGGCCATCAAGCTGAATCTTGAGTCAATCGTGGGTAGGTACACCAACCCCACGCGCCCCCTCCCTACTCCCTTAGACACGGATACACACACACGCGCGCACACACGCACGCACGCACGCACGCACGCACGCACGCACGCACACACACACACAGGCGCGCACGCACACACACACGCACACACACACACACACACACTCACACAAGTGCCCAGTGTAAGTGCACAGTGTAAACCCAGCGTCCGCCTACTGAAGAGCATAATAACGAACATTGGTCTAATCTCTCACAGGCGCATCGAAGGCCGACGAGATCATGCTCGGCGCGTACGACAACGCACTCGCCATTGCCGACTCGGCCGACACGCAGGTGGAATCATTCAATAAGGAAGCGGGCGTCAACGTCGCCATCCACGGTTCGCTGCTCGCGTTCACGTTCGTCATCGTCCCACTGCTCAGCAAGGGCTACGGCAAGTGGAAGGCAAAATACAGGCCCATCATCGAAATCTCAAGTCGTCCTCGCTCCAACGCAATCAGTCTGACGTCATCGCAGGCACAACGACTGCGGTTTAAGGTCGGCGCCATCGCTGCGGGTAAGGTGCTCTTCCGCGGAGTCCGGTTTCTGCTACCGCTCGCCGGCGCTGGTCTGCTGCTCGGGTTCAGCATCAAGCAGGAGTCGGATGTCCACAGCTACCTGGTCGAGTCGCTGAAGACGTTGAGGGAAGCCAAGTTTGAGCTGCTGGCAAAGAACATCGACGCAACACACACGGAAGCAGAGCAGGCGGCGTCGCTTGTCGAATTCAATGAGATTTTCGTTAACATGACGGACACGTACGAGCTCGTCTCGCGTCCGGTGACAGACACGCTCTGCACGTCCTGCATCGACTGCCCGGAGCTGTCGGCAACCTACTGCACGGAGAAATGCGGCGGCGACGCGACTTGCGTGACGAAGTGCGAGGCATCTCAGGCGCAGAAACTGTGCGCGTCGTGCAACGCCACGGCCGGACTGTACGTGTGCGACGCCGTCACGACCAAAGTCAGCGACAAACTCGAGCAGGAAAACATGCACGTGTTGAAGAAGTTACAGGAGAACTTCCTGAAGCTGCTGACGGCGCAGAAGAACTCGCTCAAGTTCGTGCTCGGCTACATGAAACTTCGCTCGGACGCTCTCAGTTACATCGTCAAAGTAGCCACGCTCACACCGCCGAAGACACTCGCCGCCATCGTACAGGACCTGCAGCGCATCCCCAACTACCCGGACTACACGCGCACGCAGGTCATCGAGTTCCTGCACGCTGCAAAGCCGACCTGGACGACGTTTGACGGCTGTAGTCTGACGACGGGCGCATGCTGGGACACGATCGTTGCCGACGGCGTCTCCAAGAGCCAAGCTCCGTCAGTCATCCTTGTCGAGGTGAACAAGCTGGATGCGACGAAGACGCTGAATGAAGTGTTGGCGGCGATCAAGGGGTTGCGTCCGACGCTAACGCAGTATCAGTTCTGTCTGCTCGCGGCGCCATTCACCTGCGCCGAGAGGAAGATCAACGAGTGGATCCACAGGACGAGACCACGCAGCGTCCCCTTCATGGAGGAGTTGCTATTTGAACTCGGCTTCTCTACGATCACTGAGAGACAGGTGTTGACCTTCGTCGCCAAGCTGCTGCCTGGACAGACCACGTACAAGGGTTGCAGCCTCACCACGCTCACGTGCTGAGCACGTGATCACGTACAAGGGTTGCAGCCTCACCACGCTCGCGTGCTGAGCACGTGATCACGTACAAGGGTTGCAGCCTCACCACGCTCACGTGCTGAGCACGTAATCACGTACAAGGGTTGCAGCCTCACCACGCTCACGTGCTGAGCACGTGATCACGTACAAGGGTTGCAGTCTCACCACGCTCGCGTGCTGAGCGCGTGATCACGTACAAGGGTTGCAGTCTCACCACGCTCGCGTGCTGAGCGCGTGATGTGTGCATGTGTGTGTGCGTGTTTGCGTGCATGTGTGCGTGTGTGCGAGCGTGCATGTGTGCGAGCGTGCATGTGTGCGTGATTGCGTGCGTGCGTGCATGTGTGCGTGCATGTGTGCGTGCATGCGTGCGTGCGTGCGCGCGTGTGTGCTAGCATGCGTGTGCAATATATGCGCGTGTGTGTATCTGCGTGTGTATGTCGGTGTGGTGACGCGGGAACCATGGTGCGGGATTACAGAACTTACTCAATCGAATATCTCTTCTTTCAAATAAAATTTAGCAAAATCGTGGAATAGCAACAACGCAGCGGGACAGTATCATCGGATAAATTACGCGCTAAATTACTGAACGAGATCTAGTTCCAATTTCACTCGCCTCTAGTCATTTCCGTTCCATTTTGCTCCTGGAAATTTAATATTTGTAACAGATTATAATATTAGACGTAATTTAATATTTGTAACAGATTGTAATATTAGACGTAATTTAATATTTGTAACAGATTGTAATATTAGACGTTAATTACCAAATGATGATGATTAATTAATTAGGAAACCAGATGATGATTTTCCTACATTTAATAAATTTTATTCTGGAAATTTGTGCATTTAGTGTTGTGTTATTGTTCCATTAACGACGAACAAAACTAATTATACATTTGGTTTATACATGTAATTTAAACAATCACACGTAGACGCGCTGAGGAACACACAAAACAGCTTTAATAGCATAGTAGGCCTACAGGAGCTAAAGGATATAATTGTGCACTTTTTGACAAAATTATAAAAATTGGCATGAAGGTAGTTTAAGATATGTACATTCATATGAGATCGGGTACCTATCTCCATCGGCATCCTATCTGGGCTCTATCTTGTATTTAAAAATGGCCGCCATTTAAATCCATTATCCTTAATTTTTCATCTAATATTCAACATAGAAACATGATTTTGGTGTCTAAACCAACATTATCGGAGTCAAGAAACCCAATGCAATCAAAATCATTATCGGTCGGTGGCCGCCATCTTCAATTTCAAAATGGCCCATATTCATAGCATTCAACAATCAACAATCGCATTATTGCATGGACGAGCTGATAAATATGAAACGAAACATAATCAAGTGAAAAGGTATTGTAACGGTTTTGCTATCTCTTTACCTAACCGACTACTACCATTTGGCCGTGGTATACGTCCAGTTGCCGTTGTGTCGCTCACCCTGACAGGGCCGTTACTCCCCGTCCTTTCCGATTCGATCACAAGGATCGCGACGAGGCAGACTACCCATATATTAATTATGGCCTAATGAGCTGGGGGACTGCCTACCAAACTCGATTACAACAAATCAAAACAAAACAGAATAAATGTATGCGTTCCATCTTCTTTGCTAAAAAAAAGAGAAAGTGCTACCCCATACTACAACCTTCTAGACATTCTAAATCTTGATAATGTTTTTAAACTCAAAATCTCAACTCTTGTACACAAAATCAAGTATGTTAAAACGGATATTCCTGCGGCCTTTATTGATCTAATCCCTTCTGCTTTACAAATACATAATTACAACACTAGGTATGCCTCAAAAGGTAATCTACACAGTCCTGCCTCCAGGACTAACTATGGTCTATCTCGATTTAAGTCTCTGGCCTCAAGGATATGGGAAACAATTCCTCTTGAAATTAAAACCTCGCCACACAGTAAATTTAAACATGATTATAAGCTATTCCTTCTAGACAGCCAGTAATAATCAATTAAATAAATTAGTGCGTGTTATTTAGGACCATTGGTTATGGTTATATATTATATTATAATTGCTTGCTTGCTCTTGTTACTAATTCGTATTATATCAATTGTAAATTTTGTTCTACTGTTCCATATATATGTATATATGTATATATTGTTTTTTGTACGTAGACAGCCAGAAATGTTCAATTAAATTAGTGTATGTTATTTAGGACCATTCGACGCATTAGAAATTAGTTATATATTATATTATAAATGCTTTCTTGTTCTTGTACTTATTAACTCAATTGTATTTTTGTTCTACTGTTCCATATATATGTATATATGTATATATATTTTTTGTACGTAGACAACCAGAAATGTTCAATTAAATTAGTGTATGTTATTTTAGGGCCATTAGAAATTAGTATATATTATATTATAATTGCTTTCTTGTTCTTGTTACTTATTACATCAATGTATTTTTGTTCTAGATACTGTTCCATATATGTATGTATGTATATATTTTGTTTCTCTCTTATTTCCTATATTTAGTTTAATTGTACTTTTCCCTCAGACTTTTTATTACTATGGTAGTGGTCCACTCGAAAGCTTATTGCTACTTACCACTACGCACATTCAGCCAGAGGCTCTAATATTTAAACCTATCGATTCTATAATATTATTTATTTCTCTCCCTTTTTACTACTATCTGAAATTATCTGTACAAATGAATGAAAAGTGCAAAATAAAATGAATCTGAATCTGAATCTGAATCTGAGGCAGCCAAACACCCGAGCGCCGAGAAAAGGGGGGGTTCCGGTCGTTTAGTGAGAGATACGGAGGGGGGCGGTCACAAAGTGAGAAGTGAAAAGTTGGAAGTGATAAGTAGGTTTATTATTTATTAGGTACCGCTTGTTATAGCCTTGCGTCACACATCTACCAACACCGCGACAGCAGCACGTTCGCTCCGAGCCAGACTCGAGTGATCATCGCGTGCGATTCGACGCGTAAGACCATCACGTTGACTACCGTAACACGCAAACTAATAATTACTACGTGCGATTTAAACACCAGTGCCTATACATGACAAATAAGTTTGGAAAACAGATCACTTCGCTATACTGTATACTGTCTAACGAGGGGTGTCATATTCGGTGGCGCCCCCTGGTGTACAAAATATGCGGAAATCTCGACAGTCTGCAGCCCGGATATCCGCGCGAAGCGCGCCAACGCCGCTGGCGGCGCTCTAATACGAATTCGCTGCCCCTCCTCCATCACCTTACACGGATTACATAGAAGCGTAATTCTCCGCGCAAACGGAATTGAGCAGTTCTGGCGCTTGCACGACCTTGACATTACCCACGTACCTTGACATTTGCTAGAAATGCTCCCAATTCTTTGTTCGCTACTAGGTGCGCTTTTTTTGCTGTAATAAACGGATTTGCAGTTTCTTCTTTGTTTGTTCTTAATTTGTTCGTGAGTCTAGTACATATCGCGTGCCATAGACGGCGCAACGAGACTATAGGCAGAGCATTTGCTTACCACTTTTCGTGCAGCCGATGTGGCTCTGCCGGCTATAACCTAGACTGCTCCCGGGTCAACAGTTCCACACGCTACACTAACTGCTTCGCTCTACTTTATATTCATGTTCGTCGTAGAACGGTTAGTTTACGTTTCAGCTGACCTCAAGGTCTCGGCGGCAAACTCTGCGGCAATCAGACGCCAGTGTGAAATACGGCGGCACACGCAAAGTTCGTTTTGGTGAGTCGCTCGTGTATATAGCCAGCCTTTTTTATACATATATATGTGTGGATTATGTAGTGATGTAAAGGGATGTAAAGCAGGTGTCACAAATCTTCGATGAGTTACTAGTTTTGTATCATAATATTAAAGACACTGCAAATCTTATCATTGCTTGATTTAGTTCAGTGGGAGTCATACATCACATTTGTGGGTACATAGCCGTCGTTTTTTTTCTGCACAACCTATGGGTGTCGCCGTCCAGTTAGTCGTGTTAGTGCTTTTTATTGAAATACAGCATGGACATTTTAGCTTGAGGTTCACGTTTCAATTGAACAAAACGCCCCACATGTTACAGCAGCTAGTTGAATTCTTCTATGTTCTATGTTCAATGTTGTATGTTTACAGAACCATATAACCATACCAACACAAACACAACCATACTTTTCAGATGTGTGTGTTTCACAGTTACGTTAAATTGATAGCAAACTATCAGCTGCTATATCCCTAGGTTGTCACAGTCATGTTAAACTATTTTCTTGTCGCATCCGTTCTCAGATGTAGTGACCGACTTATTTTTCATCTACACCCTAAAATACGTCCTTTCATGTAATACTCCACTTAAATGCCATCCTCCCGATGGTATTTGTAAAGCTTGCACAGATGAAAATATGTACACTGGGCCAAAGAATATTCTTTGCTGCTACACCTTCATGTGACCAACAAATTGCATGGCCAACGCTACCGCAGCGCCTGTACCAGGAGTTCTGTCATTTACAATGTGCGACACATCTGCTCGTAATTAAGTCGTCATATAATCCAGGTCGTACATTAGCTACTCCATTAATTTTTCGGCAAAATATTTAGTAAAATTCTCAGTGAAGTACTGAGTGAACATACTGAGTAAAGTACTCTCACGAGTAACGGGCCCGCTGTAAAACTTCTATTACTTCATATCATAATAATTACACGTACGTACGTAGTTCCTAAGTATTAGTGTACTTTCACCACACCCTGCTAATTTGCACACAGTGTATACGCAATACCTTTTTCTTCTAATTTATATTCATGTTCGTCGTAGAACGGTTAGTTTACGTTTCAGCTGACCTCAAGGTCTCGGCGGCAAACTCGGCGGCAATCACATACACATTCACACGCCAGTCTGAAATACGGCGGCAGAGGCAAAGTTCGTTTTGGTGAGTCGCTCGTGTATATAGCCAGCCTTTTCTATACATATCTGTCTGGATTATGTAGTGATGTAAAGAGATGTAAAGGTGTCACAAATCTTCGGTGAGTTACTAGTTTTGTATCATAATTTTAAAGACACTGCAAATCTTATGATTGTTTGATTTAGTTAAGTGGGAGTCATACACCACATTTGTGGGTACATAGCCGTCCTTGATTTCCGCTGCAGGTGCGGTTGCGGTTGCGCTTGAGAGTTTGAGGTGCGCAGTTCAGTTTACTTGTTTCTGCCGTTTAGTACTTCGTTCATGATAATTGTTCAGATAGAACTGTCTTAGGTATATCTTAGCTGTTAATTGCCGACGCGTAAAGAATTCGCGCGCGCTATCGCTCTCAAGTTATCGATCGTAGTATTGAATACTATGATATAAATTATGGCCGGCATTATATGTTATAACTCTAATCTTCTATGATAAAGAGTTACTTTCAATTGTTACCTACCATAAACTATACATCACTATATATATCCACACATATATAATCCACACATATATATACTCACCATTAGGTACCACATGGTATTAGGTCGTAAAGAATTCGCGCGCGCTATCGCTCTCAAGTTATCGATCGTACTATTATTATGATATCAAT